AGGTAGTACTGGAGTTGACGGTGATAAGGAGAAGGATGAGGGTCGCGGGAAATCAATAAAGGTACATACTCTCCCTTGTTCACACTTCTGTTTTCCTTGGTAGTTTTAAGATCCATAAAGAAGTGTCAAATGTAATTTCTTTCATAACTAACTTTGATCCTTCCCAACTGTTTGTATCTTTGCAGGTAAACAAGGAAGAAGATGATAAGATGCGAACTACAGCTGCAAATGTTGCTGCTCGAGCTGCTGTTGGAGGGGATGACATGTTGTCAAAGTGGCAATTAATGGCTGAGCAGGCAAGACAAAAGCGTGAAGGGGGAGGTGATGTGGCTTCTGGTTCACAGCCTGGTAAAGATGTGACTAGGAAGAATTTACCAGCTCCCCCAAGGAGCTCAAGGGACCCCCAAGAAGCTGAGAAAAGGATCCAGTCATCTGCAATAGCCCCACCTGGTATGATAATGATCCGTTATTGGACCTAATTTTGAGATTCATATGACTAGCATTCTAAATATGAATGGTGTTTCTCATATTCATGGTGTTTAGAGTAGTCATGACTTTGGTTAGCATGGTTGATATAATCCTGAAAATCACATTGTTTTAAATCATAGTTTAGCTTTTCTTTTGCATAAACTACCATACGAGGCATATTCAGAGATTTGAAAATATGCAAAGTTATGATTTGAAATATTTCCTTCCCAAAATGTTTTAAGAAAATTTTGTTGTTAGATGAGGTGTCAGTTACTTGTAGATCTCCTTCATATGTAATAACACCAAGTATTACTAGACCTTTTAGATGATTAAACAAAGTGTGGAAGCAAATTGATAAAATAAGAAGGAACATTCTTTTGGAGGATATGGATGTATGGCAGCTCTCAACAAAAATATTATCTGGTCAGTTGGACCAAATTAATAAAGCCTAGACAGTCTCTGCCTCTGTGGGTGCCTAGAACCAAGGGAGATGCATGTCATAATAAATCTTCGCTCATGTAACGGTCCTGGGGGTATTGCAATGAGGAAGACTCAATCTGAAGATATATTGTGAAAATTAAACACGGGGAGCAAGACTTCTGACACACTAAAGTATACTCTTATAGTCTTATTGTTGCCCCCTGAAAATACATAAGCAGACTTCGGGAAGATTTTTCCAAGCATGCCTATTTTAGAGTATGGCTGGGGAATTAGTACTTTGCAGGAAAAACTTCCAAGACAATACCAGTTAAATGTGCTGTCCCAAGCCACAGTTAGCCAATGCAGGGAGGGAACTTTTGGAATTTGCACTGCAGAAGGAATTTATCAAGCACTTGGTGGCAGATTAGCTGGGAGTTTTTTCTTGATAGATTGCAAGGGTTCTCAATTTGACACTTTTAAAATGGACAGATTTGTTTGGATTTTCAGCCAGGTTGGTGCATATTTTCTTAAATCTCGTTAAAAGAAGATCTGCTCCAACAGCAATATTCCTGGATTGTGACTCTAGTGACTTGTCTAGAAAGTATTCCAACAAGATAGCCTGTTTTAGTTGGTTAGCAATCCTGGATTCTTGCTTAACTCATGATAACCTTGCAAAAAGGGTAATAATTCTATGCAGCAGGTGCTACATCTGTCTACAAGAATCAGAAAACATCAACCATCTATTCCTCCATTTTCAAGCTGCCCGAGACATCTGAGTATATTCTTTTCAAGCTTTTCGGGATGAACTGAGCAATGACGTATACCATTAAAGTAACACGTATCCGCTGAGGTAGATGAAAATGGTACCATCATGCCATTTTTGGAGTTGGATTGAAAGAAATCTTAGATATGTTTTGAGGGTGTCATTTCCCCTCTTTTCAAAGTTAAGCCTGTAGTCCTTTTTGCTGGTGTAAATAGAAGATGTGAATAATCTAAGATAAATTTATGGATTTTCTTAGCTCCTTGAATTACCACTAGTAACCAAAGGTTAATGTATAGGAGCTACCTTTTCTCCTCAACTGATGTTACTTTGGTATCCTCTTGATGCATTTCAATGAAATTTTCTCATTTGAGATGATCTAAGAAAAAAATGCCACCACCAAACATCCTTACTAGAATGAATTCAGCAACTAAATGGGAAGAGGGATGATCGGGTTGGGTTGAAAATACTAGAATGAGATGTATTTAGATCAGCAAAGAGTATCCTAGCATTGAATGTGATAAATTTCCTTCCAATGTGGCAAGCTCAGAGTTTAGCGTCTTAGATGTTTCCAGAGTTTCCTCCTGAGCCGGGGATGTAGCCAGAAGCAAAGCCATGATGTAAATTGTATTTGGAATCTAGAACACCAATCTCAAGTACTAATAACCAGGCTTGAAATTTGATACTTGTACATATTTAGCAGATTTCTTAACGCATATAAAGCATCTAGGTCAAAGCTATTGGGTTCGGCTGACTTATCACATAGATGTAGCTTAGGTGGTAGAGTGCCCACTTAGCACTGAGAGATAAACAACACCGCACATATCCACTTTTACTCCCTAGTTATTGTGATTGCGGCACAATATTAGTTTTTTTTTTTTTTAATGTGGAAGTGTTTATGATCCAGGAATGTGTGATATTACCGTTCCTTTGTTGATTTCAGGACATTTGGTTGATATTTCTTCTTGTTTAGTGTGGTTACTCAGGTTTTAACCATTTAGCTGCTGTAACCTTTGATCTTAATTTGTTTGGACTACTCTCTTTTCTGTAGGTGTTGTGAGAAGAGCCGTAAGAACTCAAGGGATAATAACACAAACTAGGATTGCTCGCAGTATTACTGTAAAAGATGTGATCGCCGTCCTAGAAAGAGAACCTCAAATGTCTAAGTCTACACTGATATACCGCTTGTATGAGAAAGCTCGTTCCAATGCTTCATCAGCTGAATCATCCTGATTTCCAGAAGCACCATAAATCTTTAGCCCTCTTTTTTTCCTTTTGATAAGAATTTGTAAATCTTGTTTATGATCATGACAAACTATTTACCCCAGTTTCATGTTGCTGAGATTATTAGATAACTTGTGCCCTTTTCATTCTGGATGATTGCATGTAAAAGTAATTTAGTTGGATTAGAGTAGGTGAAAACTATCAAATCTTTGTTAAACAATTGTATTTCCCCTTTTAACACCAAAAAAGTTCACTTCAAATACAAGTTGAATGATGTAAAGGGGGAACAACAAAAGAGACACTCATCACCAACCATTTTTTTTTATGGTTCTTCATGACTAAAACTGCTTTATTTAATTTTTAATAAAGAAAAGGGGGAACAAGAAAATGATTCATTCGTTCTTTTATTTGTCTTTTATATAATCTAAATAATAAAAACAGTAGGCCATTGGTCCCACTTTAATTATTTAGACTCTTCATCATAAGACAAATTAAAAGTTGAATATATTTGTGTGATTGACTTGTTTATATAGTAATGTGCTATACTTGTTAAGTTGTTATTGTCATGACAACAAATAGACTCATACCTTACCTTTTTAAAGTAAATTTAAAGTAAAGAACAGAATGATGTGACAATAATTTTTAACGCCACCACCACTGACAATAACGTAATAGCAGTGTTGCTCACAAGTAGAGTTTGTAATTTTTACTGTTAACGCTAAAACTTTTTCGTATTGATGAAAAGGATTTTTTTGAAAATGGGAGATCTTCTGCTTAATAAGATGAGCTGTTTCTAGTTACTATTATTTAATTTTGATAGTGCCCCATCAGTAACAAACTTCTCTACTACTTTTGTCTTTGTATGATACACATTTCAATATAATATTAAAGTTGCATATACCAAAACTTTACGGGACCGCAATCCTCGAAAGCCAAAAAACCAAAAAGGAAGTTTTGGGCAGAATTAGGTGCATGTCTAAGAAAAATAAAATATATTTGTCTTAAGAAGAATAAATACATTCTTTAACGTAGCACAACAGCAATGTCCTCATTAAGACCCCCTTAACAAAACCCAACAAAAAAAATTACATCCATAATATCAAGAAAATTGAATAATAAGAAAAATTATTTTCATGATATTTATAGACGATAATCACAAATTCGAACGGCTATAAATTTATGCTAATATAGAGAAAAATTAAAGCTTGTACTGCGTTGCAAGTAAGTCAAGCATGAAATGACGACATAATGGGTTGTCTTTAAAGTGGCAATAAGGAATGTTGTGCCGCCACGTTTACATAATACCCACAATGCCCACATTTTAGACACACGTCTTCGTATTTTTGGATGGTGACAATTTTTAATAATTTCTCGTTTCAATTTATTTATCTAATTTAATATGAATTAAAAATTTTAAAGAGTAATTAAAATGAAAATTTATTATTTTAACCTAAAGATATTTACTACTTCCTCCGTGTTTATTTACTAGTCAATTTTTTAATTTGTCACACTTGTTTGAGAAAATAATAATCAATATACTCGTAATATTTTTTAAAGACCTTAACTCAGTGTAAATAAATTAAAAATATAATAGAAAAAAGAAAATCATCCTTTGTTTATCTATTAAAAATGATAAGTAGAAAGGAAAATCAAATTAAAAATATTTGACAAGTAAATAAAAATAAATAGAATATTAGTAAACATGTTATTTGAAAGTTAGCTAGCACTGCTACCTCGATTTTAAAAGTATAAAAAAGTAATCCCTCCTTTTTAAAAATATGATTTAATTTGATTTAGAATGATATTTAATAAAAGAATGAAAAAATTTTAATTTTGTGATTCTAAATTAAAGTTATGTCAAATGTATTAAAATATTCTTAAATTTTATAATTTTAAATATGTCACGTGAAAAATTAAAATATTATAAAAAATTATTTTTTTAAACAGATTAGAAAATATATAAGGGTTTTTTTTTTTTTAAACAAAGGAGTAACGCAAAACGAAAAAAAGTAATTATGAGCCAATGGATGAGTCTCCTATAGTTGGAATACTGAATCAGATACACTGCTACCTTTCCCTTTCCTCAAAATACTGAAAATAAAAAGAAGATAAGCTCAGAACCCATAGCATTATCTTACACCCCCCCCCACCCACCACCCCCTACCCCAACCCAAAATCCAAAATTTCGTAATTCTCACTCCATACCATAATACCCTTTTAAAACCCTCTAATATCAGTTCACTACCTACTTTAGACTAAAATTTTACCAAAATTTCAACTTGATTTTGATCTTAGAAGACCGATAAAAATGGCGATTTCGGATACTGTAGTGGGGAATTTAACGACGTTGTACCTGTTAGTGATAGCGGCAATGAAGGCGTACGGATTGATGACAGGACGGAGCTACGGCGGAGTTTTTGTGCTGATTGTGTCAACAGCTGTTGTAGGTACTGTGTTGATTTTGAGTTTGACGTGGGATGTGTCACGTAAGGTTACTAGGTGTGCTTTGACACGCGATCGTCATCTTACTCTGAATCGGAATCAGCCACGTCATCATTCCGATGAGTTGTGTAGAGGTGGTATATGTTGGCACGGCGTTGCTGTTAGATCTCCGGCGTCGCAGTTTCGGTTCCGGCTTCCTCAGCACCACCCTCGCTAGCGGTAAAGATAAGTGAAAATCGAGTGATTTTAACTCACTGTAAGTATGTAAATTGTTTTGGATCGAATTTTTCTATCTGTTTTTTTGGCTTTATGACGATCGAAAATTTGGGGAAAATCAGTGTAAAATAGTCATCGGAATCGCAGTTTAGGCATGTAAATAAAAATATATGTGCAATCGGTTTTTTCTCGCTACGAGCTTTGACCTTTTTGTTATTCTGAATAGAATATTACCATCCGATTAACTTCTCTTATCATGCAACTGATTTTTACTTTAAAAAAATTGTATAATATTGCCTTTCGAAGCAGCGATAGAATCAGAATTTTCACGAAATTCAAAAAAGCAAATGTATATGAAACTTGTGCCCCTTTGTAACTCCGCCCATACTCATGCAGTTCATGGTCACTGATTAGGCGTTGCAACATGCAGTTACATATGCAATTTTTTTTTGTGTGTGAATAATGATATCCTTTATCGACACAATTTGAGTTATGTCAAACATTTTGTTTATGGCAAGACTCACGAGGGGTCTAAGTCGGAGTTAGTTAAAAAATAAAGTTAAGCTTTTATTATAAAGTTTAATTTTTGATGAGATGGTTAACCTTTGCTTGGAGACCTATGAAGTTTTTCTCTCCTTTCTTCCTAGAGATTCCGGTTTTTTTTTAATTACTCGGACTCATAATATTAAGATTGAAAGTAAAAGATACTTATACTCCGTTAGTTTAGTCAGTTTCTTATCAAACTTTTTGTATCCTGCGTTTCTGGTTCAGGATTGAAATTATTGTCATTCACTGAATAATTATCAAATGGTACTGACTCATTTTTATACAAATAGTATTGTTTTTTAGAAAGATATTTACAGTACATAATTGAACAGAAGTATGCTAGCTAATTGTTAGCATTTAATTTTTGTTTTCATTTTCAACCTTTATTTTATGGATGAAGGAATATATTTTTACAAATAAAATAATCCACATTTGGAAGAATTAAAGTGTGACTTACTTACTAGAGACATGTTTAGTTTGCTAACGTGATTGTAGTGTTGTTTTCATTCATCACAATCAGTATAGTATGGTACAAGAAAATCAATTTAAGCACTTAAAATGATTTTAAAAATTTCTTTCCCTTTTTCAGTAATAAGAAATTGTTACGTGAAAAAGAATATTTTCTTTTAAATTACAAGACAATTACGTATTTGTTTATACAAATTAAAGTGGGTTCAATGTCACTAATTTTGAAACGTATACGTTATTGGTTCAGATAAGAAGTTGAAAATACGTACAAAGAGATGCTTAAGAAAATAACAATTGGGGTTATGAATTTTCAGTTTATAGGGTTAGTATGGGGTTTGTAATCGGAGAGAAAATCATCCGTTTGATTGAACACGCTGTCAATTAAAATTTACCTCATATTATAGTGTGTGCTTCTTGGGGTGGGGGTGGGGTTGGGGGTGTGAGGGAGGGACGCAAGAAGAAAGTTTGATCTTGATGCAAATTGACTAAAATATCGTCTGCTTTATGTGATTACCAATTAAGTAAAATCAGAAGCCTAGGACAATGGTGTCCAATTTGTCTTGCGCGTACTTTAATTAATTTCACCGAATACATGTTGCTTCTCACTTCCAACAAATATCAACTAACTTTATCCATCAAAACTAGAATAAATGGAAAAGATAACCTATAGTATTTACTTCTACTAGAATTTGAATCCGTTGGGGGGAAAATCATGTCTACTCCTACTAAATTTGTTACAAAATTGTTTTTGTTTCATAATATACGTCATATTCTAGCAAATAAGTAGTTAGAGTTTGGAAATTATAGATAGTCAACCAATTGAGCGTACTTAAATTTCGCACCTAACTTCGATTCCAGTTTTGAACATGGGCAGTTAAACCTCTGATTTCCAACAATCAGCATTCCTACTATAATCTTTTTCCAAAACAATACAGCAGTGATTTCTTCTCTTCCTCAATGAAGACTTAAAAAGAAGATAAGACATAGAAGATAAGGTCAGACCACAATGATAGACTTGAATGCTATCACATCACAATCTAAATGATTAGAACCCTTTATGGGTTTCCCATCAGTGTCTGGTGCCCGCTTTCCAACCCCGATTAACATAGAATCGTGCCGAAAAGGTTCTACTTTGGGGCATAAAACTCCCTATGAAAAGCAACTCGATTCTCAGACCTCAAACCCAAAACCTCTAGTCAAGGACAAACGATACCTTCTACCCCACCAAATATTTGGTGGTGGATGTTTAAAACAAGCAATAGTAAATACTCAATCAGGCATTGAGAAGGTAAAGCATTACGCTCGACAAGTCTATAGCATATATCAATCCAAAAGGAGGCAGTTATTATAGACATATATTTCACACAGTTCCAAACTAAGTGCCATCAACAGTTTGAAGCAGAACGGAGCAACAACTTTTGAACAGATTCAAACTTTATCATGGTTAACAGAATTTAGAAACATAGTTGGGAAACAACCATCAGCCCAGACTCTGAAATGTGAATCATTTCTTGAGATGAGGGAAACATGCATAGACATCAGATTTGGGATGCTTCGCCTCAGCATGTTCTCTGCACTTGACTTCAGAAGTGGTGCAAATGAATGTCTGCATGCACACCTTGCACTGCATTTAACAATTAGCAAATGTTAAGAAAAATGGATAACAGGTTTTGTTTCAAAATAACTAGATAACAGTTTTGCATAGCTTCTTTCTTGTTGCTGTCTAGTTTTCTGACAAAGTAGCAAAAACTAGACAGATGAATTACATTGTTTAGAGATTGTTTTCCTTGTTTATGATCTTGTTTCTTATTACACTACATTTTTGACAATTAGCACACACTAAAACAAGTGCATAACATTGTTTAGAAACCGTTTTCCTCGTTTACCGCCCTATTTCTTATTCCACTGCATTTGAAAACTAGCAACAATCAGGACAAATAGATAACAGTTCAGCAAGAATTATAGTTCTTGGATTGGGCAGAGGACCATTAATTTTCTGAGCAATAAATCCCAAGTTCTAGTTCCATGAAGAAAATCTTGAAAACTAGATACCAAATGGCACAGTACTGTTGGATATCGGATCTCCTGTGTGGGCTGACCCGACCCAACCCGTTGACAGAGATAAAGATTTAAGTTATCTAAAACTAAACCACCACATGACTAAAAAAAAGAACTGGTGGATGTGATCGGTTTTTCTGTAAGAGAAATATATACAACTTCTCTATGAATATAAAAAATAGAACAACTCATTTTACTTCAACAGAGATATTTCTCTAGTTTCTTTCGAAAACACGCAGCAAAGCAAAGATATTTAGTTTGTGATAATTTCTAACTTTGTTACCATGAGATTCAAAGTTTGACATAGAGGCAGGCAATTCTTTTGGTGGTGAGTTCAACGAATCTTCCTCTGCATTTACAGGTACACAATTGTTGACTCGCCCACAATTTATTCTTACATCTAAATCAAAAAACATACGTCATGTGTCTCTAATTCACTTTTCTCAATCTATCCCTCTTTAACAAGCATGACTTCAGCTTTTGTATCTTTCAAAACTTCAACAAAACAAACTCACTTTGCCACTAATGTGTTTGGAATGGGGGAAAATATATTCCAGATGACACCTATTTCAGCTTCTCTTTATAGCTGTGAGGCAGTAGCATAGCATGTAGACATGTTAGAAAAATGATTTTTTTTGTAGTGCGAGATCCTTTTCTTTTGTAGTGCGAGATTCTTTTGTTTATTCTCTGTTTTTTCTGATCATAAATTATACTAGAAGAGTTTGTTAAGCCATGAGGGATACACCTTCATCGATCAAATATCCTAAAGGGTGTGCCGTACATATCTCAAGCTAAAAGGATGTTCCTCCCATTTCCTTGTTAATTCAATTGTTTTTACAATATTCTCAAGGATATTTCTTTTATTCTGTTGTCCCCGATCATGGAAACAATCAATCTACTACTGTTACTGAAATACCAGTGGTCTTCCTGTTTGCACAAACGTCTCCTGCTACTATTTCTAATTCACCTGCGTATAACTTTGCCTAACACTTCCCTGATGTTCCAAAGGTGAAACATCATCGCAGAAACATAATTTCTCTGCTCTTTATACTAAGAGATTCAAAACACGATGAATTTTCTCCTGCTCAACTAGATCAAATAATTTATGCAAACAAGGTAGTATGTCCGAATATTATATGAAGTACTCTTTCTAACAAGTTGTTCAACATATATTGTTCTGATAAAAACAAAGAAAATTTCGGACTTGCTACTTGCTAAAATAATCACGAAAATGGTATGAAAATTTTCTCCTTTTTTAATCTTGACGTGTATATGACATTATAAAGGAGAAGATTACGTCCACTTTTTCCACACTTCCCAAGCCAATGCATAGGAGCATACCTAGGCAAAGGAGTGGACAGACGCTTCACATCTAATAGCTTGTAACATCCAAATACATAACAATGTAAAAACCACTATTCAAAGCTATTAAAAAATATGTCACAATTGCACAAATTGAATACAAAAACTACTCAAATGGTCAGTTATGTTTTAAAAGCTAATGTCAGAATTGTAAGAAAATAATTATCCTATTAAAGACTCATTAACAAGATATTAAGAGAATAAATCTATACACGAACTTGAACACTTCCTTTCCAAGGATAGGAGTATCGCAGCGTACACACTATCCTCCCCAAACCCCACTCATAGGATTAAACTGTGTATAATATTGTTGTTATTTGTTCGAGATATCAAAATCAATTTTCCAAATTATATAATCCAGATTCTTCATCATCCGATCAATTAGATTAGAGTAACAAGAGATTAACAAATTGCAGCACCTAAAATCATCCCCTTTAGCTCGTAGACACAGAGATCTGACTAAATTATCAGTCTACACAACAAAAAACTTCAAGAACTCCAGATATCCAATTAAAAACTCCAAAACTTAGTTAAAACCCTTTGGTGTATCCCCAAACAAATATATAGAATAAAAAAAACCCAATTGAAACCCTAAATTATAAAATTTTCAGCTGGTTGAAAAGAATTCTACAGATAAAGGAACTGGGTATGAAGAAAGAAGATAAATTTAAGTGGAAACAACAAAAACCTGGATATTCATAGCCTTCTTGTTAGCCTCAAGCTGGCTTCCTGTACATACACCATAATTAGCTAAAACTCCAATCTTTCTTCGAAAAAAAAATCCAAAATTATAAACAAACTTAGATATCCCTACCCTTTTGGCCTTTCATCTTTTCCATATTCTTCTCACGAGCCATCTTTGCCTTCTGTCCATTGCCTCCACCCATGGCTTAGTTTGTTCTTCGATATTTCCTGTACAAATTGGAGGAAAAAATTGGGTTTTTTAAGGAAGTGGCTTTGAGAGAAACCCTTTACATATATATATATACATTCCATTCGTCCGTTATTATTTGTCATAAATTCTATAAATTCTATTTTTAGAGTCAAACTTAAAAAATTTTGACTAACAATTTAAAATATATTTTTTATCATATTAATATGTAAAAAATTGTAATTTTATAATATTTTTTTATAATTTTAGAATATCTATTTTTTATATCAAATTAATGTGATTTAATTTAATTTTAAAAATTAATTAAATTAATTTTTTAAAAGTACAATAATATTGTTTTGAAAATTAATTAAATTAATTTTTAAAAAATACAACATAACAAATAATACGGAACGAAGAAAGTATAATATATATAGAGCAAAAAGTGAGAAATTAGGGTAGTTGGGTGGTGAAATTAATGAAATTTTGTGGGTTGGGAGGAGAAAAAGGGGGAAAAGGACATGCATCGGAAAGCTACATGAAACTACAATTCTTTGTTCCTACGCGTTACTTTTTATTCGGAGTCGCATTAATTTAGCGTAAAGATAGAAATAAAATTTATATATATATTTTTTATTTATCGTTGCAGTTCACATTAAAATTTAATAATATATACTCAATATATATTACTACTATATTAGATATATATTATTATTATTGTTATAATATAAATATTTGATTTCATTGAATCATATGTATGTGTTGTTAATTTAAATATTTAGAGGTTTTAAATTTGAATATAGTAGAAAAAAATGTTTGACTAATGTGTTGTTTTTCAATTTATTGTTTTTATAAAGTAAGAATTTAAATTAAATTTAATCGAGAAAACTAAGAAAAAGACTAATTTTTGTATACATGTCTTTTCATGTATTGCCATCATTAAAATTCTAACTTATCTTCTTGTAAGAAAAATGTACTCGGGTCTAAACTCCCTTTGATATTAATTGATATTAATTATGGATTTATTTGATAAATTGGACTTATTTTAAAATATATTTGATAGAGTAGTTTAAACTGATAATTTACTCATCTTTTCAGATTTATTATAACGTTGTGATTAATGAAGTATTAATTGTAAGCCGTTAAGATTGATAGAGAGTAATCAAAATAAATACTTTTAGTTATAAATATAAAAACTTTATCTCTTCTTTATAATGGTGGCGTAAAACCTTAATTAAAACACAAGTAAAGAGTATTTTATATGATGATATTTGATTATTATACGCAATTTAGTATAATTGATCGTTGTAGTATTATATATTTTGAATCTATGCTTGCACGTATTTTACTTTAGCTTTTAACTCAAAATATGTCACAAAAGTTGATTTTGAACTTATAAAGGGAGATTAATCAAATAATAAGCACTCGATGTTTGATATTTAAAATAAATTTTGATTAGTTTAGCTTTACATTGTTGGTAGAGTATATTATATAATACAAAATAGAGTGTATTAATAATGCTTACTTTAACAATTCATAGTTATGCTTGCATTAATTATACATAGATTATATTTATGCATTTTTGGTTTGATGCACTATAACTAGAATGCATTGCATTAGAAAAATTATTTACAAAGACACTCTTCACTATTATGGTGACAAAGATATAAAAAAGGTATTGAGGGGCAATTAAGTCTTTAATTGAGTTAATGCATGCATTAAGGGGTCGTTTGGTACAAAAATTAATAATGCAGGGATTAATAATATAGGAATTAGTAATGCAAAGATTAGTAGTCATGGATTAGTAATGCAGGGTTTATTTTTATCAAGTGATTTTTTCCCACTTCATCTTGTGTTTGAATTATAACTCTATAAAAAGGTTCTTTTCAATTATACCCTTCAATTATTATGTAATTGGGTCAAGATAGATAATTGTCGGACAATATTATTTTTTAACTAGCTGTGAGAAGAACAATTTAGTTGTGGTTTTAATATGTATGTAAATTTTTTAAATTGCTTAAAATACAAATAATTAAAAAAACAAGCAAACATATATATATATATATATATATATATATATATATATATATATATAAACTTCATATACAGATATACAACTCACATTTCAAATTTGTATTGAATTTATTATTAAAAACAACTTTCTCTAAATAATTGTAAGCTAATTTATTTAAATAAATTTATTAGTACAGGTATAAATTACAAAATCAAGAAAATAAACAAAAGAATTAAAATGATTTGAGGGATATTTTTATCTTTACATAGGCTTATCTCATGGTATTATATCCTATGTATTACTAATACCTCCAAGAAGAAGGTATTAGTAATACATGTTATAATATCAGAGTTAATACCTCATATGGTCACTCAACTATGCACTCTTCTCTCAGAAAGTCACTCAACTTTCAATTTTCAATCAAAAGTCACTCAACTATGCACTTCTTTCTTAGAAAGTCACTCAACTTTGAATTTTAACTCAAAAGTCACTCAACTATCCACTCTGAGAAAGAAGTGCATAGTTGAATGACTTTTGAATGAAAATTGAAAGTTGAGTGACTTTCTGAGAAAAGAGTGCATAGTTGAGTGACAATCTGAGGTATTAACTCTATAATATCATGTAGGATGTATAACTAATTCATGTATTAGTTATACATAGGCCCAAATTCCTACCAAATATGGTACTAAATAACACCTTACATAATCCATGGACTAATTCTTCTAATGCAGCCTACCAATCGACCATTAAAAACATTGAATTGCTAATATCTATATAAGACTGGACAATCTAAGGAAGTTGGAGTTGGACATCAAGTTAAGAGCTGGTGAAAGCTTAGTCTTCTTCACTTTTTTTACCAAGGCATGTCCTTTGCTGTCTAGATTCACAGCCCAGGTAAATATATCATCTTTGCTCGCAATTCATATCATTTATATTCTACGCGGCCGCTGGCAATGATGTCCTGAGCCCTTCTCTTTAAGGAGCTATATTAGTACTCCTTTAATACATGGACTCTTCTCTATATTATTTATGGCAGTTTTCCAGCAGCATAATACATGAATACACACTTCAATTTTGAGTTAGCACATTCAGACATCTTAACTCGTCAACACTCCAACTTACAAAGTGATTATTTGGAAACCTCCAAAATTTATTTGTTACATTACCATCTGGTGTCTACGGGACACAATGGAGATGAGTTGGAGTGATTAGTTGTGGTTATCAGTTCAGACAAAGTTGAGGTGTTCACTTTGTCAGCTGAGTTTGAGTTTGAGTGTGTGTCCAGCATTATGCGTTGTTGAACTATTTGGTTTCTCACTCATTGTTTTTTCTTCTTTCTTTCTATTGAGGCAGATAGGATACACGTTTGTCTCAAATGAGGTAATGTAACCTGTTTCTGCTACTTGTGCAGAGGTTTAAAGTCCTCATATTTGGTCCTAAATTGGAGGTTATTTTGCAGACTATCGCTACTCAGTGTCATCATGAAAGTTCAGCTCGATTGTGTACTCGTTTCGTCCACAAACATCTCAAAGAGGTGAAGTTGATTGGTTTTACAGGAGGTAGAAGTGATTATAAACTTGCGTTGCATTTGCTTGAAATTGGAAGATGCTCTCTTAACAAAATCATTCTTCAGCCTACCTTTTACTACTACAAGGGTAAGAGTTTGGCATTATTCCATAAGCAGAGCAAGCGGCTTGAAAGGAAGTTGCCACCAGGGGTTAACCTCATTTTAATTCCATCATCATCTTGACTTACTTTTTTTCTAGAATTTATTTAATTCTTGCTGTATATCTCTGTTTATTTACTATGCAATTCAGATAAAAGAATCTCCGTTTGTTGTAATTTATTGGAGTTTTTGACCAAAAACATTCTTTAACTATACCAAAACTTAAACTACATTCTTAAAATATCATTTCTAGCAGAAAACATCCTTTAACTATATCTAAAATTTAAACTACATCCTTAAAGTATCATTTTTAACAAAAAACATCCTTTAAGTATTTATAAATGAACAACTTTCATCCTTTTGTTAGATATTGTCAAAAAAATTAATGGATTTTACGAAAACATGAATAATTAACGTGATTATCAACAAAAGTCATTCTGCATAATTTCATTACTTGCTACAATAAGTTCTTGGAAAATATAAAAAATCTTAGACATTGTTGTTTATAGAAACTAAAAATGATTGAAAGATGTGCTCATACATAATTTGCCTTTTTCGTAATCGAATGAAGTTGGAGATTAATTATTTTTATTTTTTTCTTAACCAAATAATTCAATAGATTTTTAGGTCAATCTAATATTGAAGTGATCAAAATATTGATTATGTTTTGTATTTGAGTTTTATTCTACATTATTAGAAGCGGAAGTCTCCAACAAATGTCGCTTTTAACATATTCAATTGAGAAAGAAACATATTTAAACTAATAATATTTTTAATTAAAATTACATGAAAAATGAATTTAAAAAACGGTCAAATTAAAAGTTTGCATAATTCTTAACTCAATTACGAAAAAGTTTACGATAATATTCTTTGCATATTTAAGAATAATAATTAGGAAGGGACGACATAATTTTTGTGGGATATATCGGATAGTTCTACTAGATATTCAAGTAGAAGGATGAAAATTGCTCTCTTTAAAATATTTGAAGAATGTTTTATGGTAAGATTGATACTTTAAGTATATATTTTAAGTTTAGAGTATAGTTAAAGGATGTTTTCTGCTATAAATGATACTTTAACGATGTAGTTTAAATATGAGGTATAATTAAATGATGTTTTTGACGAAAAACTCTAATTTATTGATGACTAAAGGATTTCAGGCTATTTGGGGTATAGCAGTGATGTTTTGTAAAAATCAACGTCTAACCCCTTGGCAAAAATATAATGAAGGGTAAAAAATATTACTCCTAACTTCTATTAAAAATAAAGTTGTTTTGACAAACTAGTGCTCCATTAAATAATGTATCAAGCACACCAATATCAACAATTTGGGCATCAATTACGTTTTATCCTGAAAAGTGAAAAAGGTTTTCAAATTACAATAATCTTGAAAATTTTCAGGACTCATGGATGTATTGTATATGAGTTGTGTATATCTGGAAAAAAAAAAGGGATGTTAAAGAGAGAAAGGAAAAAAAGGGATTTTGTATTAATTCAAATAGTAGAGACTTTTAGAAATTATGTTTTTTCAAGTTGTATAATTACGTAATTTTCCTACTCATGTAATATAATTTATTGATTATATATAAAACTCACTTCTCTAAAATTTACTAGATTTCGCCCAGGCCCGTGGTGACATAGTTGATTTTAGTGTCGCCCTTTTCACCACAACAATACAACCCAATCAATTTAACTATATGGGTCGAACATGACATTATCATATACATGTACGTAAACAGAAGCTCATATACCTTTAAATAGTATTGATCATTTTGTTTCAAATAGGCTACGTATCACAAATACATGATTGGACAAGTAATAATACTACAAATACATGGTTTAATAAATAGCATGAACTCATTAGTTGTTTATTTATGTATAAATATACTAGCTAGTGTACAGAAGCAAACCATCAATGCAAAATATCAGAAATAACATCTAAATCTTCATTGCAATTCCTCTTATTTACTTCATCTCTTCAAACAGTTTTCATGGTAAATTTCAGTTCTATCAGAGCATTAAGGAGTAAATCGAGAGATTTCTCTGAGTTGTTTGTGTAATTGCTTGATTTTGCTCCAAATCCATTGTCACGATTAATGTTGATGGAGTTGCCATTGATACTCAAATTCGAGCTCCTGTCTTCGATCTAAGGATGCATTTGGAATTGACTATCATCACCCTCTGTTTTTGCACGCTATCTGATGCTCCCAGTTTGATGTCTATTGGCATGCCTGTAATGGCGTGAAGCTATGCATCACTTGAAATAGTTGGGCTTTGTGGATGGATCTATTACACGTGATAAGGACTATGAGTTGCTTTGGGATCGTTGTAATGTTGTAGTCAAATCGTGGATCATGCACAATGTCAGCCGTGATCTGATTAGTGAGATTTGGGACGATTTACGAGAGACAAGGTTACAACATCTCCATTACACAGGTCGATTTTTACTCTCTCAGAATCTGGATACTGAAGGACCTATGGGATGAATATGACTCATTAATGCCTCCTCTGTGTTGTAATTGTGTTAAATGTAAAGACTATGCTGCCTGCACATCTTCAATACTAAAGGAGGCTCTTATGGGACTTAATGATGGCTAGGAGCCAGATTTTGATGTTAATCAAGCCTATGCTATTTGGTGCTGCAGGATGAAACTAATGGTGGAATGGATCCTACTGCCTTATTCACAACTAGGGTTCAGGTTTTAAGCCTAAGAAATCTGGTTTAAAATGTGAATTTTGCAATGATATCTCTATACCGTTAATATGATTACAAGTACTGTTGATTAAGCTATTTACGAAGGAGCAACTTATTAGACAACCCTCAGCAAATCGTAAAATGCGAGAGTAGTACTAGTGTAAGTCTAAAGTGTCAATCGGAATTTTTAACTTCATTCCACTAATAATAATCAAACTAATTCCATTAGCAGGTAATTATGTTATAAAAAGTTGTGTTTCTTCACTGATTAGAGAAATTCAAAGCGAAGCCTTATTTGTACGATAACAATGAAAAAAAGTAGTAGTACAAAATTGTAAAGAGGAGTATAACAAAAAGAGCTACTTACGTAGAGACAAGAACACCACAAGTCAAATTTCCAACAAATTGAAAACAGAGATATAGCAAAGCAAATGTCAAACAACTCTAATAACAAAAATGAGTATTATTAGTGGTTTTATACATGTGAAACTCTGCACGAGAATATGAGTATTATTAGTGGTTGTATACCTGTGGAACTTTACAAGAGATTATACTTGTGGATGGCAAGCAAGTGAATTCAGAAACAAAACTATGTAGCCAGATAGAACTACAATGATTCACCCATCAGTTTTCACTCTTTTAGACGTAGACTTGTCTGTAGAATCTTCACTTCTCTCTCTTTTAGATGTCGACTGGTCTGTTGAATACAAATGGTGATGATTCCTTCAACAAATATAAAATTGAAAAGGTGATTTCGGTAATTGCTTAAACTTACTCTGACTGGACCAACAAGAAGTGACTTATTAACGAGTTGAACAGCAATGTAGACATTCTCCTTCTGTAATTTCAATTTTTCTCCCAACTAAACAGAGAAAAACAAGAAAGAAAATTAACCAGAATTCATCAAACAGAGCGCCTAACCAAACAAATTAGTTACCTGGAAAACATGTTCAACCATCATCCTGGGATCAGAAATAATGCGGTCTTTTACATGATCTTCCATCTCATTACGAAGCTTCATTTCGAAGAAATTGTCTTCGTCCAATTGTGAAATTTCAGGATGGACAGCATAGGCCGGATGATTCAAAATTGGTAGCGCTTCGAAAACCCCATCTTCATCTTCAAGAACTATTTCATGTTTACCAACAGCATCATCTATAACTTCTTCACACGAGAGGTCAATATCAGTGAAAGAACCTTTTCTTTATCTTCAAGAACATTTTCATGTTCACCAGCAGCAGCATCTTTAACCTTTTTACACGAGAGGTCAATAGGATCTATCGGTGCAACAAACCTATCTTTATCTTCAAGGACTTCACCACCAGCAGTAGCATCCGTGACTTCTTTAGACGAGAGGTCAATAGGAGAATCTATCGGTTCAAAAGACTCATCGCAGTAGAGATTTGGAGACTCCATGAATCTGGACAAGAAGAAGAAAACGAAGAGAAATTGTGTTGAACTTGTGAAGTGGAAAATTGATTGATCTAATTACAATGAAGCCTCATGCTATCTTATATAGCATTCTAACTCGATGTATGAAAGGTAACTAACTACACATTAATTGAGATAACTAACTAGCAAAGTAACAAATAACTACACTAAGCTAATTAACTAAAAAATGGAAAGTTACTGTGCAACAGTTTTAACTAACTTGAACCTAATTAATTTTAGGATAGTAAAGCTAATAGAATTACATGATTTTCAACATTTCCCCTCAAGCTGAAGGGTGCAAAATGTTGAGCACACCAAGCTTGCCCGAAAGATATAAATGTTGAGCTCGACTCAACCCCTTTGTTAGCAGATCTGCCAGTTGTTGTTGATTATGAACATGGACTGTATCAATAACTCGTGCTTTTCTTTTGGGATTTCGTTATGTACCCTCGGAAAAAATTTACAGTTTATTTTGTGCAATTATAATGTATGAATTTGGATTTTCTGTTAATTTTTCATATCTCCATTTCTTTTATAAAACATCTTCTTCTTTTTGTCTGTTTCTTTAATTAATTCACCAAAAAGAGACCCTCAAAAAATTGTTTCTGAGTATTCATGTTATTTTTCTTCAATAATGAATTTGTTATTAGAGTTCTTACAAAGTATGAAGGTTTAATTTGCCTAAATATTATGAAAAGAAAAAAGAGTAAACACATTTTATGAATAGATATGCATGCTAAAATGAAATCTCTGACTCCAACTTTTACCAACAATTATTCGGACAAGTCTAAATTCTTATTCAAAAGTGAAATTGTAACGTTATTAATATTATCTTATACAAATTTAGTCATCCATTCATGTGATTACATTGTTTAAAAGATTTTAACATGAACGATATTAAAGAATCTTCTGAGGGCCTTTTTTTATGAGATTTTTTGTGTGGAAATAGATAAAGAAAGCGAAAAGAGGTGTAATGGATTTTTCCTTAATTTTATTTATTTATGCATTTTATGCTTCAATACATACAAACCTTAATTTGAGTGATTTTTCTTTAATTTTATTTATTTATGCATTTGATTGAGTGATTTTGAAAGATAAAAACCTTAAGTTTGAGTGATTTTTCTGATACAAAACAAAGTTTAATGATTTTGCTATATCAATTCTAATAGCTGAGTAACTTTTTAGGATATTAACTCTCAAATATTATCACGTAAAATATTCCTTAATTGTTGTTTGTAGAGTTCTCACGTATATTTAAAGAATCAAGGATTGTATTGATGATTTAATGATTGAGTTACATGCTCTTTATATAGGAGAAAAGTCTTATACTAGCTACACAAGGAATTATAGAAGAGTCCTATACTAGCTACACTAGGAATTATAGAAGAGTCCTATACTAGCTATACTAGGAATCCTAATACAACACAAGTATATTATTTACACCTTATCCTAGTCAACTATATCAGCTTTAGTCGTACCAAGTATAGACTTGTACATAAATTAGGATTTAGTAATCTAGTCTATAGTTTAACTCAAACTCTAACTCATTAGACAGCTTCATCGAACCTGTTCCATCGAACCTGTTACTTTGACACGTTCCATCAGCTCCTTTCAACACTTCCCCTCAAGCTAGTGAGTGGAGTGACTATAACTCCTAGCTTGTGGTGAAACTCAGCAAAAACCTGTTTGGTTAATGCTTTTGTATGAATATCTACTAGTTGATCCTTAGACCTCACAAACTGAGTAACAAGTTGTCTTCTGGCCACCTTCTCACGAACAAAATGATAGTCCATTTCAACGTGTTTAGTTCTATCATGCATAACTGGATTAACTGTAATGTATAAGCACTCATGTTGTCACAACAATGTAGGTACAGATCGAAGAAATACCCCAAGGTCATGAAGTAGATTTATGATCCATGTCATCTCTGAGGCAATAAAGACAAGTGCTCTATACTCAGCTTCAGCACTTGAGCGAGCAACTGTGGACTGTTTCTTGGTGGTCCAAGAAATACAATTTGCACCTAGGTAGATGCTATAGCATGTAGTTGATCTCTTAGTTGTGATACAACCTCCCCAATCAGCATCTAAGTATCCATACAACCTATATGGTGATTGTGAAATAAGTCTAAGTCCAAAGTGCAAAGTGTCTTTGATGTACCTGAGAATCCTTTTTACACCTTGAAGATGTCCATTATTCGAATTTCGCATAAATTGGCTTGCTAGATTCACATCATGAGTAATATCCGGTCTTGTGAGAGTCAAGTATTGAAGGCTCCCTACTATCATTATATAAAACAATGCTTCAACCAGGCTTCCTACAGCTTCATGTAGGCCATCATTTGGAGCCAAAGGAAGGGCTACAGCTTTTGCAAAAGTCATTTCAGTCTGGTCTAGCAGCCCTGCAGCATACTTACTCTTGCTTAAGTGGATACCCCATCAAAATACTTAACCTCAATTCTAAGAAAGAAGTGTAAAGGGCCAAGATCTTTTATTGCAAATTTTTTTCCAAGTTGTCGAACCAATTTTGAGACATGCGATGCGTTGCTACCTGTGATAATAATATCATCCACATATAACAAGAGAAATATGATGCCTTTGTGAGATTACAATGTAAATAATGAAGACTCTACCTTACTACAAATGAAGACAAGGTGAAAAAGATGCATGTTAAACCAATCAAAACAGGCTCTTAGTGCTTGTTTAGACCATACAACGTCTTTTTAAGTAAACACACATGTTGAGGATACATGGAATCAATAAATCCAGGAGGTTGACTCATGTACATCTCCTCTTGTAAGAGCCCATGAAGGAAGACAGTTTTGACATCGAGTTATCTAACTTCCCACCTTGAGCTGATAGCAATGGATAGAACTACCCTTATAGTTGTTGCTTTAACCACAGGGCTAAAGGTTTCTTCAAAGTCTATGCCTTCAAGTTGAGAGAATCCCCTGGCCATTCTCGATGATAAACTAGTGATTATCAAAAGGCATGCAAATTTTTTGATATATTAATGAACGAGATCATTAAACTTGATATGATTACACATCATTTCCATGTGTCAATTTTTGGAATTTTTATAGATGCAAATCTTGTGATGCAATATAATTTATTTTCGAGATGGAGTTTTATACTTTAAAGTTACAAAAATAATTCAAATCAATATGATAAAGGTCACAGCAGGATGATGAATATATACAGGGGCGGACCTATGTAATGTCCAGGGTGTTCACCCGAACACTCTCGGCAAAAAATTACACGATATATATAAGGGAGTTGAACCTTTTTCAATCCCGACCAATTTCCTTACGAGTTGAATTTTTTTCAATCCCGACTAATTTCCTTACGAGCTGAATCTTTTTCAATCTCGACCAATTAATCTACTCTAAACAGTTTCAAATTTTGGATATAAGCTCTTCTCAATGTTTCGATTCTTTTGATATAGTATTTACTCAAAACGACTCACGTTTGCCGCAAGTCAAATTTATTAAAAAAATTGAGTTTCAAAGCCTTCAATGACGAATTTCAAAAGACATCCGAGACCTTTTCTAAACAGTTTCAAATTTTAGACACGAATTCCTCTTAATATTTTAGAATCTGAGCTTCAACCTCTTCAATTGGAAATTGTTCCGTTTTTCTTTCACACATGCTCTTTCTTTCTTCTTCGTAGGGTCGTTTTTAAACAAGATGGAAGAGAAAAATGTATGTAATAAATTAATGAATGTTATCGAAAAGGATAGTGTGTGTATATATATATATATATAAATATATATTGTGGAAATTCATAAAAATATACGGACTATACATAGCTTACTTAGATATAAGTTATATATTGATTATATATTATGATACACTCAAAAAGTTGAATATAACTGAATTATGTATAGAGTATATATTAACTATACATAAAATATACGTTGACTATACGATTATGCCCAACTGAAAATCACCTCTAAATAATTTCAAATTTTTTTTATATATATATCTTTCATTATTTTGAATGTTTTGATATATAATTTGCTAAAAACAATTCCGAAGAACGAGGATGACAAAGTAGAAGAACGGCGCAGATGAGTTCCTTTTAACTAGCCATATTCAGTTAAACATCACATTTGGATTAAAAATGTGAAAGCGGTGTTTCTACTAATTTTATGTTTTAGTATAAATTCAATATTTAGTAAGATCTATCTATAAACATCATCAATTAATAGAACTATTCTAATAAAATAGGCATATCAAATTATCAATTATTATTTTATTTTAGAACTTTCAAAATTTAAACTAAACAAATAAAAAACAAATAGATTGAACAAAATTTAACTGATTTCATCAAAAAATTCTCTTTTGTATGTCATGAGAACATACATAGATGTGACAAATTATTCGAGCCTGGACCAAAGATAGCTACTAGCTACAAAATTTTAGTGAATATAGAGTGCTACTTTTTTTCAAATATTTGTGGGTACGTAGCAAATATCTATCTTGTATAAATATGATTTTTGAAAAGTCTTCAATAGTAAATGTATATAATTCTAGTCTAAAGCATAAATGTATCTATGACAATTAAAATAAAGCAGATGAATTTTATTTTCTTGAATTTAACTGAACCTCAACACATATGCATGCGTGTACACAATTGAATATTTCTAGGCTATTATTTAGATTACGTCGTTTCACCGTTTTAAATGCAAATTTTAATCTAATAAGTTAATAGGGATTGAGTTTAATAAGTGGGCTCAGAAAAGATTATACAGTGCAAACAATCAATTTTAGTGTCCTATGTGATGATTAGTGTGGGTGTTTAGGCCGATTGAATTAAATGTGATTTGGACTTTGGTTTATGGATCGTAGAAATTATAATTCAAAGAAGTTATGATTGAATTGAATTTTCTAAATTCGAGCATTAATCGATTACAATATTTCGAATTTTTGTACCTTTACAGTAAATCATAGCAATTAAGAACTTCATATTCACCTAATAATTTACTTCTTAAAATATATAACTATTAACATTGCGCACATAACGCGTAATTTCATATTGTACTTAATGTTGTCATGAATAGTTTGTATGGTACAAATCTATTAGACCTTAAAACTTTGAACTTGTTACTATTTGACACATATAATATGAATATGCAGGATTGAATATAAGACATAAAAATCTCGAGTTTTCAAAAATTTGTAGTACAAATTCTGAAGTCGATAAATATTTAAAAATGAAATTTGAATCCATAATCCAAACTAAATATCTGAATTTTAAGTTTGGGTAGTGATGATACGTCCCAAAACAATATTGTCATTTATGAAAGAAAAAAGAAAACACAAGAATTCAAAATGATAAGCTTTTTGACTACAAATTTGGGTGTTACGTTATTATATTATTTGCTTAAATTAAGGTGTAATGTTTTTATTTTTTGCCTCCCCATCAGCAATTTTATGTCTTGTGGTTTTGCGTACATCAAAAGTTTTGGACTTTTGGTTAGTGTAATTTCATCGTCTAACAATTTTACACGTTAATATTTAAATATGTAGATCGAAAACTTTCAATTTAATTAACAATTTTTTTTTGTGTTAGCTAGAATAAATTAAAAGAGCTCATATATATTCCATAACATAAGTCATTGCATTGCCGATGTCTCCGGCATAAATTCAAGGAGGACGTATAGCTAATCTGTTATTTTGTGAATATACTTTGTTTCTACTAGTGATTCAACACATATAACGAACGAGTCTGATATTCAAGATTTATCTAAAAAATTATTTTATTTTATTTTTGTGAAAAATACATTAATTTTTTTCGCTGATAATGAATGACAACAATAAAACCTCGATCTACGTGCACATTTGTATTTTCTTGATTAATGACATGGTGAATACATCGCAAGAAAATTATTGTCATTTAAAAATTAATAAAATGTCAAATGTTTGGAGTGAGAAGTTGTAATTAGTACAAATAATTGTTTTTGCTACTATATTTTTTAAATTAAAGGGAACATCATAGTGTTTAATTGCTTTTTTGATTTGATAATAATTATAAAAAGAAGAAAGGAAAAGTAAAAAGAAAAAAAAAATAGGTTCTGTCCCTAATCTAAAAGGTTTTTGTAGTTGCTTTTGAAGACCACTTTGCTAATTTGGGGTTATAAGCCAAATAAAGAAAGTCCAAATGAAATTATTGGAATTAAGCACTAATTACAAAGCTAAATTGCCATTTTTTTTTATATAAAAAAAAGGACAGATTAAAGTTAAATTAATCATCATCTGTATATCGACATTAGAATCTGCTCTTACGTGAGTAGATCATATGTTGTTGGATGCTTTAATTCATGAGAAACTTTTCTGATCGTATTTATGTATTTAAAAATTTTTAAAAATGAATATTTTCTAAGTAAAGACGATATTAAATATTTGACATATACATACAAATATATCGGATCTAGTTGGTCACATATACAATTGATGTACTTACATATACACGGAAACACACATACATTTAACTTCTGCTTTGAAAACATATACATAAACATCATATAGTTAAAATCAAATAATGTTTTAACTTGATTTTAATTAGCAATAAATTTTGAAATATTTGTTATATAGGTGCTTTTGGAAATGACCAAGTAAAATATTCTAGCTAGTTTTATTTATGTTGCTTGTTGTATAGGTAAAAGTCAATTATATGCCAAAGCAAAGTACTAACTAAGAGCCTCTTTGGCTCAGCTTAAAAGCTGGTCAAACTGACTTAAAGTTGGTTTTTGACTTATTTAACTGTTTGGCAATACTTAAAATAACTTATTTTAAGTTAAAAAAAATTTATTTTAAGCCAAAAGTTAAAAGCTGGGGTAGGGGTGCTTTTTTTTTTTTTAGCTTATAAGCTGTTTTAAGTTGACCATATTTTTATGTTTTTTCCCTTAATATTTTTATACAATCTCCAAATTACCCATATAACCCTAACATCTTTTTCTTCTATTTTTCCCTTTTCACGTTTGGCATAACAACTTCAGCACTTTTATCCAAACGCATAACTGCTTATTTTAAAAATAAGTTTCAGCACTTTTAAAAATACTTTTTTAAAGCTGCTTTTATTAAGCCCATCCAAACGGGCCATAAGGAAGCTAAATAAAAATTTAAGTGTCATTTAGCATTAAAGAATTGTGCTATTTGTTGAGGTGGACTATCAATAAAATTAAGATATGGACTTCAAGAATCTCTAATTAATAAGGTGATAACTAGAAAAATAAAGTATTAACAAATAATGAACATAATAGGGAGTATACATTTGACCAGTTGAATAAATTCAATTACGTATCACGATCAATTTTAATTTTCGGGCTAATAATAATTTATTATATTATTTTAGACCATAAAAATTTATATCATTTAAGAAATTAATAACTCCAAAAAAGAAAAATTTACAAATCTCATTAGAGATCTATATCGCACTAGATAAACACTTAATAAATTATTATTTTTTTGAAAAAAAAATTAACTATGAAATTTCAAACTAATGCGGTAACAATTTGTCAAATTTCTAAGTTATGAGTAGATTTTGATTTAGATTTTCGTGATATATGATTCAACATATTAAGTACGTAATTGATTAAATGGTTACTTAATTGAGAAAATTATTTTACATTTGATTGCTTTTAGTACCGTAGTGCCTACAAATATGAAGTAAGAATTAATACAAGCTTAATATAGTTCATAGGTAATTAAATGGTGAAACGAATAATAATTCAGAAAGTCAATAACTATTTATAAATGAATTAAAAAGCATATTTCAAATAATTTAAAATTAAATATGCTTAATTAGAAATCACAAAATTTTTATCAGTAGTTAATGAACCACAAAAACTACAACCTATTTCTAGTAGTGATTAAACTTGTGATATAGTACTTCAAAGTTTATTCTTCCTTATTTTATATAAAATAATATAACATCTTGTATAAATATATGATTCATAACTTGAGATGTTCAAAAGTAAATATACAATTACTCTTCTTATAATTGTGTCCAAATCTACAAGGAAACAAAAACCAAAGAAAAGAATAAATTCATGATCTAATAAAAGGATAATTAAGTAATATAATTTTTTTTTAATTTTCAATTCAATACATCTATTTTAATTCATATTGATAGGAGTCTATTCAAGAAAATATGCTTTCTACTAAGAATTTTCTTTTATATTTAAAAACTCAAATTAAAATTTTTTGATTAAATAAAACAAGTACATTATCGGCACCACATCCTTTTATGGTATATTTTGATTATGTACGAAACAAATTGTTTGGCAGGAATGTTGTCATTTCTTTTCTTGTTAAACTTGTTCAAGTTTTAGCAAAATAAAAAATTACCAATTTAGTCAATATTTAATTCCATTTGGTTTAAACTTAAAATAGAAGTAGTATTTAACTTTAATTGACCATTATTTAGAATTAATTATATGATGGAATAACTTGTTCTAGGGCATATTTTATCCTCCTCAATCAATTACCTGTTGTAATACTCCAACTATTTGGCAGCAAGAATAAATAATAAAATTCTCACAAATAATATTTTATACGCAAAGAGCAGCTTAAGTTTTTTTTTTTTTTTTTTAAAAAAAAAGAAGGTAACTTGACAATAATATATATATAGTTATTAATAAGTAGAAGTGACACGAAAGAGAAAATCTTAATTTTGGTAAAGTATTAGTATTACTCCATCCCAAAGAAAACATTGTTCAACTTACAAAGGTATAACAAATAATAGAATTATTATATACTTTTTATAATCATTGTATTCGAGACAATTTATGTAAATTTCAACTAACTTCACGTAGTATTTATTATTTTCTAAAAATATAAATATTTAATATTTATATTCACTAAAAGTTAAATTGATTAAAAAAACACTTGTATTTTTTCTATATCTACTCTAAAATTTTGAACTAGACAAAAATATAATTATTTAGCATATATATTTTTTTAAAATGAATAAATAGAAACAAGCTAATTTGATATATATTGGGAAAAAAGTCGCATCTTATGTTTGACTACTAAAAAAGATTTTCCCAAAAAAAAAAGTTTCATCATACGAAGAAAATGACTTTTAATTATTTATAGACAATAAGATTTTTCTTAGCAAATATATTTAAAACTCTTATTCCAAAATCCAAATCATTTACTCCAATTAATATTCAAATTTCATTATTATTTAATGAAATATGCTATAATAATGAAATATGCAAAATACGTTATCTTATAACTAGATATGAACGCCAGTTCATTTGACGATCCTTCATATTTAAATTGGAGCATTCAAACTTTTTAAAAATTAAATAGTATTATTATTATGTAATCTCTATGCAAAATACGTTATCGAATTGTAATTGAATTTAAAGATCAGTTTACTTGGCAATCTTTTATAGGTGAATTGAAGTATTCAAATTTCTTAATTGTTTTAGTATGTATATTTATATCAATTAAATAGTATTATTCATTTACTAATAAAAACAAGAAAAATATTTTCTTACTTCTAAAAAAACATACAAATAAATCTAAAAAATAAGATTTGAAGATGACACATCAAAAATGGGAGAAGAGGATAAGATTGGTAAACGAAAACACATGTAGAAACGTGTTAACATGGCCCATATACACTTTTTTCCGTCTTGATATAAATTAAACACCAAATAAAGATGCTCATGTTTTTGGGAAGTGGGACCCAGATAGATGAAAAGTAAAATAAAAAATCAAATCGTTACGTAAAATAAATTGAAATACATCAAAATTAAAATTATACGTAATTTACTTAAAAGTATAATTAATTTCAAAAATGGATTAATTTTTAGATTTGGTATTATTTTATTTATCTAAAGACATAGAATAAATTAGTTCAATAATTATAATTTCAAGATCATATTATGAAATAATAATTATAATCGAGTATTTAGTAGTGATATAATTAAAATATTAAAAAATTATAAATAAAAACGATAATATTATTAATTTTCTCTTCAACTCCTTTTTGATATAATTATATTATGGTTGGTTGGATGTATTAATTTGTACTTTCAAACAAACATGATATTGATTTAATTTCTACCTTAATATCCTTATTGATATTATTTTATTTCACCTTATACTCCCTTAGTAATTTTTTTTTAAAAAATTCGAATAATAATTGACTTATTCAAAGTTTAAGATAGATATTCAAATATTTTTTTTATATCTATCATTTTTAATAAAGTTTTACATTTTGTCGGGCATACATTACGATATCTACGAAATTATATTTATAATTCTATAAAAAATAATATAATGAAAATTATTAGTTCAGATTATATCTTTAAATATTTATCTTAATAAGCGTATATTTCCATTATTATGATTTTTAAAACTATAATCTCGAAATATCTTTATCAGTGAGACAAACAACCCCCTTATATTTATTATTGGAAGATGAAAACCGAATATACTTTACTCTAAGCTGCAAATATCCGTTTATGATTGATAAAATTCCACCGATATTATAGCATGGAAATGTCCTAAGCATAGTAAAATTCCACATCATTAATTCTTTCCTTTATTTTTCTAACATTCTTATCCTTTTCAAATCCATTTCATAGTTGAACTCTTCTTCTTAATAAGTATTGATTATTATCAGAAATATTTTGATCTTTCATATTTACTGTATACCAAGAGGCAAGAAAATCATTTGGGAAAGTTAAAAAATGAATCTTTTTCAAGAATTCTTTGTTACTGCTATGTTAGCACTTGTATTTTCTTGTATAATTGTTAAAATTGTTTCTGCTGCAGTGTCAAAAGATGAAAGGGTTGATACAGAGAAAATTGTTGTGGAGGAAGTCAAGATATCAAAAGGGTTGGTTGTTAGGAGTAGGAAAAGTAAGAAAAGAGTCAAATTTGTTGAAGAAGGAGTTGTTGGAAATGTTGATCGTGTAGAAAGAGAAATACCTAAGAAAGATGGGGTTGAAGGGTTTATTGAGAAAAAAATTGAGGGTGTTTTGAGGAAAGGTGAAGACTTTAATGGGGAGAAAGGTTTTGAGAATCTTGATTTGGTTGAGCATTGTGGTGGTGAAAGGGAGGTGGAAATTGAGGGTGTTTTGAAGAAAGGTGATGACTTTAAGGGGGAGAAGGTTTGTGAGAGTCTAGAGTTGATTGAGCAATGTGGTGGTGAAAGAGAGGTGAGTGATGATCCAGAAGTTTGTGGAAAAAATGGGTTGGTGGAGGAAAAGGATGAAGTTAAGAAAATTGAGGGTGTTTTAGAGAAAGATGATGACTTTACGGTTGAAAAGGAAGATGATGACTTTACGGTCGAAAAGGTTTGTGAAAATCTTGATTTGAATAAGCACTGTGGTGGTGAAAGTGATGATCATGATGATGCAGATGTGTGCAGCAAAATTGAGTTGATGGAGGAAAAGGATGAGGTTAAGAAGATTGATGAGTTGCTTGTTGTGAAGGAGAAAGATACCGCGAATGCTGTGGTTGTTGATGAAGTCAAAGTAGGTGAAAATGAGGTGGTTGAGGTAGGAGGTGGGTTGAGTAAAGGGGATGATGAGAAGACGGATAAGATGGCGATGGATGAAGATATTGATGATGATTGGGAGGGAATTGAGAGAAGTGAATTGGAGGAGGAATTTGCTAAAGCTGTTAACTTTGTGGATGGGGGAAATGGAAAGAATAGTGGTATGGAGAATATGGGGAGTGAATTGATGATGCAATTGTATGGACTCCAGAAAATTGCAATCGAAGGACCTTGTTACGAACCTCAACCAATGGCATTGAAAGTCTATGCCCGTGCCAAATGGTATAACCTCATACTCCAAAAAATATGAGCTTTAGCATATTGTTTTGTACTCTATTTCAATTGCATTAATTTTTTAAAATGTTCTTTGATTTGTTTGAACCAAAAAAAGTAATTTCTGTAGCGAATGCTTGCGTTTATCTAGTTAGTTGGATATTTGTGATTATTGGATTAGTAGAAGCTTTTGTAGGAGAGGACACAATCAATATATACTAAAGAAGATTAGAAGGAACACTGCTGAAAATGGGGAAGATAAATCACCATCTCACATATAGTTTGATCGACTTTGAGTTTAATCATTCACGATTGAATTCCTTAACGTTGTTGTATGATCTGATCTAAAGTAGCTTTCCCCTTGCATAGTAGAACTAGCATTTATTCTTTACTTTTTTTCATCAGATCTACCGTATCCTGGTTTTACCAGAGAATAGTTTGACCAGAAACTAGAATAGATATCTATAGCCTAAATTTCGTAGTTAAATTGAGAGGACGGAGTCAGGAAACTAAACATGATATTTAGTACATTTATATCATAAGAAACTTGTGTTAGAATTTAGAAAAAGATACCTAGCATAAATTCAATAAGCAGTAAAGGACAGACCTTCAAACTACTTTCGGGTGTAGTTTGATTGCTAGTTATACAACAGGAATGAAAGCTGCTTTCTGTAAGTGATGGAGGACAATAATTCCATTGTGCAAGGAATGCGTGGCAGAAAATGGGAAGCATGAATCAGGAGGTGGCCATGGAGCAGTATATTAAGCTTTTGTCAGACCATGTCCCCAATTGGACACATCATAGTAAGGTTGTTAAATATTTTCCTAAAAATTTTTTTTGGATAGATTACTGAAAGATTTTCTTGAAACGTTACTCCAAATGGTTGATTTACTGTTGCAGAATGATTGCGAAGTAGGGTCTTCAGAAACTAAAATGCCTGGAGATCCAGATCCAATTCCTGATTCTTCTAATGATACAGGCAAAGATGAAAGGTACTTCTATTTCACTTTCCTCATTATGTCCTCTGAAAGTTCCCACTGTATCGTTTCATTCGACTCTTGATTATTTTTGCTTATCTGCCTTTCTCACTAGCTTTTGCATGTATCTACAGGACACAGGAAACGAACCGTGCTGCAGAAGGAGATAAAGGTGAAAAGGTGATTCATACAATTTTCGGACTTTTGATTCTGTAGTGATGTTCACTTGTTTGGAGAATCCAAAGGATTTATGTTCCATGTTGAAACTTGGCCCTAAACCTGCTGTTGGTTGAATTTCAACTTCAAAGCTAGTAAAATATTCAACGTCGCATTGAACTTTTTATTAATCCTCTTGTTGCCAAAAAAAAATAAAAAAATCACTCCACATGATTGAAATTTCCTTGGGTAATTGCAAGTTAAACGATGCAACTGTTAACATCTAGGACAAGAACATAATGATCTAGTTAATATAAACATTTGCTGTTAATGCTAGATTCTGTGAGGTTTTGTCTCTTAGGTCGGACATCCTTTTAGGAGAATCCTAGTCTAAATTTTTGAGATTTGTCCTTTTGTCTATGAGGAACTTTTATAAGACATACTTTATATAATATCTGTGCTTTAATTGCATCTCAAAGAATATCATTCAAGAACATACTCACTACTTGACACTCTGTTATGTTAAACTCGTGAAGATCAGTCACATCAGTGTAGTTGGCTTCTTGTAACAGAACTATTAATCTTACAATTTGTATCACTCTGCCTAGTTATATGCAGTAATTAAGCCAGTTTACTGTAGACCGGTGCTACATCTTATGATCTCTATTTCCTTTCCTCGAGTAGTTATTTACATTTGACTGTTTACCATTTTCATCTATAGCCTGATAATTGAAGCTTTCTGGAATCTATGACAGCTTAAAAGAGTTGCTTCATTTTTCATTCTAATTCAGGCCTGATAAGTGGAGTTGTTTGAACATAACATAATTTTATAATTGGCTCCTTTTACTCTAGAGGTTTTATCTTTTGAATTCTTTTTAAATATAGGAACCAAGGATGTAAACTATTTATCTGTACTATGACATTACAAATCCATCGATTTATATCTGTTGTATTGATAATAACAGACTCATACAAGCACCCGAGAGAAAACACAAGATCCTGCTTTTGGTTCTGTAGAAGGTTCAGGAAGTAGGATGCTTGAGTTTATGATCTCAAAATCTCTTTCGTTTATTCTGGAAGAATGCTTCTACAACGCTCATCTTTTATACCACTTTATCAATTTTATGCAGGTTTTTGATAATGATAAGTAGTAGCGTTAGCTATTCAATGTCAAATTAATCCCAACTTTAGAGTTAGTAATGGCTCTGGGCCCTTAATATTTTTGGTGTTCAAGAACCATTTCTCCATCGAAATCAGTGTAAAGGAGAATTGGTTCTTGATTCTAGAAAGCCAAAATTACTGTCCACTATGATCCTAAAGACAAGTTTATTAAAAAAACTATGTAGGTGTTAAGGACGAGAACTTATTTTGGTAATTTTGGTCCAGCAAGAATTCAGTTTCTGTATGAAACAGATGTATATGCTTTGCAAGATAATGGCCATATAAAGACTAGGGGTCAAACTTGAGCCAAAGTAGAAGATATAGGATCTTCCCAGATTGTTCAAGTTTAATATGAAGGCTATGAGCATGAGGGTGTGGTTAATAGAAGCGATAGATGTCTTGGTTAATGATTGGACAACATTAAGATGCGAACATTCTCAAAGTTTAAGGGTGACTCGGAAGTTCGATTGAGAAGTATCTTGGGGCCTCTGATGCACTTTTAACTTTACTCCAATGACCTGTTCTTTTCACAACTTCGAATGGAATGTTACCTTATACATGAGCTAATTTCTACTTGGCTTTTATGATTGTTCATTTAGTAGGTATCTGAATGCTTTGTAATTTTCCCTCTTAGAGGTCAGATATGGAATATGTTTATAGTTCTTTAGTAATTCTTATATTGATGTTATGTTTGAATAAATCGATAGATAATTGTAGCAGAGATAAAACTTTGGTTTATAGCGATTTTCATGTGTTTCTTTCAGGAATAGGTATGAGAACTCACCAGCAGGCATAATGCAGGTACTGCTTCAAGAATTTCAGGTCGTTGCAGCTCATAACACAACTTGGTTCTCCCTATTGTTCCCTTATCAGATTATTATGCATCTACTCTGCATATGTATATAGTTATTTCCGCTAAATAAAAACGACACTATATTTAGAGAAACAATGATCTCCTTGTTTCAATGACTTTTTATTATATGAAGTGAATGATAATCTCATTGGTTATTATTATTATTATATCCTTTATGGTTCTGGACCTACTTTGTTGCTTACAATTGTGTAAGGTAAACTAACTTTAGTAGTAAAGATTGTCCTTATTTTACATGAGATACCAGTATTGTTCCTTCTTAGTTCCTCCTCCCTGCAGACACTTGTGGAATATTAAACTGCACACTGTCACCGCCATAACCTGGATATCCACCACCATTTCCTCCACCAACGCCACCACCATTACCAAATCCTCCACCAAAGCCACCGCCACTACCACTACCTCCACCATATTGACCACCCTGGCCACTCCCAGATCCTCCACCAAAGCCACCTCCACCATATTGACCACCCTGGCCAATACCAGATCCTCCACCAAAGCCACCACCACTACCTCCACCATATTGACCGCCCTGGCCACTGCCAGATCCTCCACCCATCCCATAGTTACCATTTCCACCACCCAAACCATAGCCTAAACCACCACCTCCTCCTCCTCCACCTCCAAACTCTTTTCCATAACCATTGGTTAGTGGTACATTGGCAGCCTTAGCCTGAGAAGTTAAAAACTTCCCTTCTCGGATTGCTTCAACTGTTACACATCCATAAAGCCCAAAACGCAACAAAACCAGGAAACTTAAACTCCATACAAAGACTTTGTGCTCTCCCATATCACTTCTCTTATGTTGCTCAACAATTTGATTATGACTAAGAGGACTAGATATCAAGAAAACCCTATTAGAAAGAACTAACAAAACATAGAGAAAAATGTGCAATAGTTGTTGGGATAGAAAAGAAAGTAGATGTTGTTGGCTTTTCTTGGTGTCTGTTCTCTTCACTAAGATATAAATATGCAGAAAAGTATGATAAATCTGTGCCTGTTGAGTATGATGAAAGGTATAGGTAGTCAGGCCAATATGCATGATTCATGATAATTGAAAATTGCATGATGCAGATCAAGACTGCAAATTTTATGTGGACAAAAAGTGGGGGAAACATGATCTCTCTCTGTCAGTAACAAATGTAGCCTTCTACAGTTTTTAGTTCAAGTAGATATTCATATTAACATCATATCAAATATTACAAAGGAGTATGGGAACAGACACAATAGCACAACAGACTCGTCAACTTGAAATCTTGAATCCGCCTCTTATGATCAATTGGTGCTTCAAACAAGTCGGCTCAATAAGTTAGCCAAATAAATCCTTATTGTCGTATCTACTATAGCCATTGAATACTTCACTGTTCTTCTGAGGTTCTTACGCTATATCAGTTGCTTCACCTTAGTAGACATGGAAGTGTTTCCTTTAGAATTCGAAAAAATTAAAGTCAAAACAAACTGGTAACTTTAACTTGTCAACTGCTATAAAGTGTGTGGTTGCTGGTTTCACCAAGAGGTCCAAGACTAAGGTGCGCTTGTTTGGTGGATAAACCTACCTAGTGGAATCCCATAAGTGGGATACGGAGTGGATGAGGTATACTTAGACTTTACAACGACAACATATAATGTAATTTCACAAGTGAAATCTGAAGATTAGAAAAAGATCAGAATACTGACAAGCTTCACTCCTACCTCGAGTAGGTAGAGAGTCTCTTTTAGTTTTTGAAAGACCTGCGGCTCAAGTGAAAGATGGTTAGCTCATGAGTCATGAGGACTAATCAAACCTCTATCAAGGTTTTGTTTGGCAGCTATCACTGTTAAAGGTTGAAATTAAGAGTGATTATTATAACATGAAAATGATACATGTAGGGCCAATAATAATCCAAAGAATTGAGGCTGTACTTAGCAGTTCACCAATTGTTATCAATCTCATTAATGCTGTCATTTAGTATTTGATTATTTATGGAGTATAAAAGCAAGCTAATTATTAAATAGTTGGCCATCTTTAAAATTTCGAAATAAAAAAAAACATATTTACTAAATCTTACCTTTAAATTTCTACAGAAAAGCATGATCTTAGGTACGAGAATTAGAGTGTTCATGAGATTTTTCATTTTACCTCCGATGAATCTATCTATTTTATTAGATTGTTAATCCTAGATACTTGAAACTTTCTTTCTCGAAGAGGACCTATGTATTAATCCTACATCCATATTGTCACATAACTTACTTCACTGAACTTCACACTCTGAATATTTTGTATTGGTCATGCTCAATCCGAACCCTTTAATCTTTACGACTTTTCTTAGACTTACTCAACCTTTGTCTTGTATAAATACTTCAAAGTAATTTAAAATAACTAACATCTTTGAGTTAATAAATTTTAAATCCTGACTTCGTCTTTCATCATTATAGCCCAAAACACTAACCTAAGAGTTTAGTGCATTAACTTTAAGTCTTTCATATGATTTTATTTTTGTAACAAAAATTATACAAAATCCCCGTTAGTTGTTTGGTCAATCACCAATCAATCATCTTAGCTAATTAAATTAATGGTCCATTAATCATCTTCAAACAATGTAATAAGAAGAAATATATTATTTTTCTGTAACACCACAATTATTAGTGGTAGACTTGTAGGCCCCATTCCAGCTAATTTCCATAAAATGCAGACTATAAATAAGTGGTTTTCTTGTCAAATCACTTCTAATTATACTAAATAATATTCTGTCGATTTTAATTAATTTGACATCTTTTGATTTTAATTTGATACAAAATATTTTTTTTACGAAAAAAGAAAAATTAATCTTATAATTTCAAATAAATCTTAGCATTTATGTAATTAGAAATTATTTATTAAAAATAATTTTTTTCTAAAATTACTTAAAATATATTTAATTATTAAAATGTAATAACTGATAATGGATTAAAAAGATATCACCAAAATATCACTTTCACTAAGAATTCATGGAATTTAGAGTCAATTTTGTGCGCCGAATTAATACTATGGTGATCGAAGCATATTCCATGAACCAATAATTGTAGAAATTAGCTAAAAAAATCTTACTACTTTTTTCAGCACCTAATTTATTTCGATTATTAGTGGTTTTTCCATAAAATTATTAAGAATTTTATCCAAAAATTAAATAGATACTGAATTTGCTTTAAAAGTAGGTCAAATGTTGTTTGTTTCTCTTCTTCTAATGGTTAGTACTTTTGTTGGGTAATTAAGTATTATCCGATAATTGTTTCGATTAAATAGCCTACAAATTATTAAGTATATAATAAGGTGATGCTACTTGAAAATAATAAAAGGAGAGAAGCAAATGAAAGGATTTCATAAAAAATTTTGCGGAATCGAGAATGAAGTCTTTATTTGGTAAATGCCAGATTATGAATTAGTAATTAAGTGAATGCACAAACCGTCATTTTAAAGATGCCTATAAGCAATAACCCAATTTTATATAAAACTAAATAAAAGTAAAATTTAGTCATCCTAAAATCAATTTCAGACAAAATTATGAGTCCGGAATTTGGTTATGCCAAAATTTGACACTCGTAACTCTATACCAAGTAAGAAGAATCTATAACAACAACTCTCAAATTTGTCAAATTTAATTAAACCTTAAAAAGATTTGCTTTTTTTTTTTAACAAGGTAAACAAATTTAATGGTGTATGGAATGATAGTGATTTGAGGGGTAAAAAGCAAATAATATCTTCAGGCGTAAATGCTGCTGGATACTGATGATAATAATAATAATTATAGGCAATTATGTTGTTTAGCATTAGAAGTTTAAAAGGAAATTAGTCATGGCTTTATAGTAGTAAACCAATTACTTTGTCTATATAGCCACTAGACAAAAATCTCAACTTGGACCATCCAATCTGATATTTTAATATGAAAACACAAACAAAAGAGGCCAATATTTATGTCTTTTTCCTTAAATTAATATGGGTTAATAAGCATTATCACATATCTTCTCTATCTTCCCCTTTCTCTTTTGAGGTGATATATGATCTTCTACTTTGTAGGCGCCAATACCAAAATTTCTTCTCTTCTTTCTTTTATAAAAAAAAAAACACAACTAAAATAGGGAGAATGCGATAGAAGAGTAAAGAGGTTGAGAATTAAAATAGATAGCTACTAGTTAGTCTAGCGTTTTCTCTTATATAAAATAAAATTTTAGTTTGAAGCACTTATTTGTTTCTTTACTAGTGGTTGTATTATTGTGCTAAAACCAAAACTAATTAAAAGAACAAACAAGTGAGATAGTCAAAATGGTTATTGATGGCTTTGCCAATATATTAAAACGGCTATGTTCTTTCTTTCATTTTACAACTATATACTTTCTTGGAATAAGAAATATTAAAGATGACTTTGACTAATTTTGTTGATTTATTTTAGTTTTTCGCAATCGAACACTTACTACTCCACCCACAACACTCGCTATCTCTCCTCCAAAACCTTTGCACATTTTCTAATAGTGCGAATGCACTTGATTCTATTAATAGTGTTGTTACTTGATTCTATTAATAGTGTTGTTTCATGTACTTTGGTTATTTTTACTATTTTTGTTGTTTGTTCAATGTTTTCATCATAGCGTTTCAATTTGCATATCTTTCAAATTGTTGTAAAAAGAGATATTTTCTTGAATCGAAAGACTATTAAAAATGACTGACTACCCAACAAAATAATGATAAAGTCTATATACATCCCATCTTTAATAAATCACACTTATTAAACTATTCTAGATAGTTGTTGAGAAAAGCAACTGTTTTTTTTTTTTTTTGGCTTTGTTTCTTTTGCTTTTTCAGTCATTCTCATTCGATCAGGAAAATACTTTTTTGCTAATTTTTCAGTGGGAAATAAAAGCTTTTGTTTTATCCAATCATAGATTCAAATAATAAATTCAACTATAGTAAGAATTTCATACTTTCCGTTCCTATGTTCAAATAAATTATAAAAGATGCATTCGTATGGAAAGTGATGTGTAAAGATCATAGTTATGCGGCGTATTACTAGACCTTTTTTGGATTATCTCTAATCTCCTTTATTCTGCAAATAACCCACTCACAAATAATTATATTCCCAGAACCAACAAAAATTACTTTGGTCCCTGGACATTCACCATAAAAAATTAATCAAGACTTAAATACAAATACCAAACGTTAAATACCTGATTATCAATTAACAAGCATCATACTTGCTCATGGTTATGTATATCTAACCTTCTCTCAATCAAACACGAGTCATGCTAGTCTTCTTTACATCGTTATAATTTCATCAGATGTTTCCTGAAAGCGCAATTCTCCTCGTAAATTTTGGGGGACATGTTAAATAGTATCACACTTCACGAATTGAGAAATTCACTTAAAATTTCCATACCAAATAAACTGTTTAACAGAAAAGGCAACCCCCTTAATTTCTGCATTGCTAGAAACATCGTCACGAAGCTTTAAAAAATGTAGTACACAGGATTCTTATCCTAATTATCCCAAGTGCACATGACTTCCCATCATACAAGAAACAGTATAGATATGTCAATATCTTAGTACAAGTACTGTTTTTTTCTACAAGTCAGTTTGTGCACACCTCGACTATGATAGCAAAGATAGGAAGAAATCATGTCATGTAGTATTCAAGTACTTTAAGACTACACCTGTCAATTCTGAGACTTCAGGCACTTGGTTTTCCCCCTGTTCTACATAACCTTTAATACGCTACAGAGGTGAGGCCAATATTCTGTATTCTAGTACAAAGGTAAAATAGCTACTACACACACGAGTGGATAGACAGGCGTACAGTCTTAACTTTCACTTGATGACTATGCATCAAACATATAGTACAAAACAGTATTTATTATCCCAAATTGATAGAAAAAAGATTCTCCCAAAAGCTGCATCATTGAGATTTAAACAGTTGAATCTTTTTCACAAGATTCAATTATGTCAACCAAGTGGGTCCTAGATAAACATAGAAATCAATTATATATTACTAAAACACTCCTTGGCTACTCTATAAATAAGCCTTTAACGTATGCCCCTCAATGAACCATTATCAGCTTCTAGCATTACATATCATAGTCAGTTAGAGCCTATCACTCAAAACTCCAGCCCATCTCCACCACAGGAGGAAAAAAAAAAAAGCTTTTCTTTTCAGTAGAGATTTAACTTTCACCTTCGACACTAAGAACTCACATAAAGATGGAAAGACTCAGGCTCATGTTTCTTTTAATACTAATGGTAGTGTTGTTTCATGTGTTTGTTGATGCAAGACAGAACCAGAAGAAGACTTATATAATTCACATGGACAAGTTCAACATGCCTGCTGATTTTGATGATCATACTCAGTGGTATGACTCATCATTGAAGTCAGTATCCAAGAGCGCCAACATGCTTTACACCTACAACAGTGTCATCCATGGCTACTCAACACAGCTAACAGCTGATGAAGCCAAAGCACTTGCACAGCAACCGGGAATTCTCTTGGTCCACGAGGAAGTGATATACGAGCTTCACACCACTCGATCCCCTACGTTTCTGGGACTTGAAGGACGTGAAAGTAGATCATTCTTTCCTCAGACTGAAGCAAGGAGTGAGGTCATTATTGGTGTGCTGGACACAGGTGTTTGGCCTGAATCAAAAAGTTTTGATGACACTGGACTAGGTCCAGTCCCTGCGAGCTGGAAGGGTAAGTGTCAAACTGGCAAGAACTTCGACGCATCAAGCTGTAATCGGAAACTTATTGGTGCGAGGTTTTTCTCACAAGGTTATGAAGCAGCTTTTGGGGCAATCGATGAGACCATTGAATCCAAGTCACCAAGGGACGATGAAGGCCATGGCACACACACTGCAACTACAGCAGCTGGCTCGGTTGTAACCGGAGCTAGCCTCTTGGGTTATGCAACTGGTACAGCACGTGGGATGGCTTCACACGCAAGGGTGGCAGCGTACAAGGTATGTTGGACCGGAGGATGTTTTAGCAGCGACATACTGGCAGGGATGGACCAGGCTGTCATAGATGGTGTAAATGTGCTCTCACTGTCCCTTGGTGGCACAATTTCTGATTATCATAGGGACATAGTTGCAATCGGAGCATTTTCTGCAGCATCTCAAGGGATCTTTGTCTCATGCTCAGCGGGGAATGGTGGTCCAAGCTCTGGGACGCTATCCAACGTTGCACCATGGATAACTACTGTAGGTGCTGGAACCATGGACCGTGAATTTCCAGCATACATTGGCATTGGAAATGGGAAAAAACTCAATGGAGTATCACTTTACAGTGGAAAGGCATTGCCTAGTTCTGTGATGCCACTGGTGTATGCTGGAAATGTCAGCCAATCATCTAATGGAAATTTATGCACCAGTGGTAGTCTAATTCCAGAAAAAGTTGCTGGAAAAATTGTCGTCTGTGACCGGGGGATGAATGCAAGGGCACAAAAGGGTTTGGTTGTGAAGGATGCTGGTGGAATAGGGATGATTCTGGCAAACACAGACACTTACGGAGATGAGTTGGTTGCTGATGCACACCTCATACCTACAGCTGCAGTTGGTCAAACTGCGGGCAACTTGATCAAGCAGTACATAGCTTCTAACAGCAATCCAACTGCCACAATTGCATTTGGAGGAACCAAGTTGGGTGTTCAACCATCGCCAGTTGTTGCAGCTTTTAGTTCCAGAGGGCCAAACCCAATCACACCAGATGTACTCAAACCTGATTTGATAGCACCAGGTGTCAATATTCTTGCTGGCTGGACAGGGAAAGTTGGACCAACTGGCTTGCAAGAAGACACCAGGAATGTAGGCTTCAACATCATCTCTGGAACTTCCATGTCATGTCCCCATGTAAGTGGGCTAGCAGCACTACTCAAAGCTACCCATCCAGAATGGAGTCCAGCAGCTATAAGGTCAGCACTGATGACTACAAGTTATAGCACATACAAAAACGGAAAAACAATCGAGGATGTTGCAACAGGAATGTCATCTACACCATTTGATTATGGTGCTGGACATGTGAATCCAACAGCAGCTGTCAGTCCTGGTTTAGTGTATGATCTAACAGTTGATGACTATATAAACTTTCTATGTGCCTTGGACTACAGCCCGAGTATGATCAAGGTCATTGCAAAAAGAGACATCTCCTGTGACGAAAATAAGGAGTATAGAGTTGCTGATCTTAATTACCCATCTTTTTCCATTCCTATGGAAACGGCCTGGGGTGAACATGCAGATAGTAGTACCCCCACCGTGACCAGATACACAAGGACTCTAACAAATGTGGGAAACCCAGCTACATACAAGGCCTCAGTCTCTTCTGAAACACAGGACGTGAAGATTCTGGTTGAGCCACAAACACTTACTTTCAGCCGAAAGAACGAAAAGAAAACCTACACTGTGACATTCACTGCTACTTCCAAGCCATCAGGCACAACCAGCTTCGCTCGACTGGAGTGGTCAGATGGACAACACGTTGTTGCAAGCCCAATTGCTTTCAGCTGGACATGATTCTGCTAGTTCTAAGTCATTCACCACAAATGTACAAGTGCTAATAGTCCTTTTTAAATAATTACTAGTGTGCAGCAGTTACTCCTCTAATATTTCACCAACTGAACAAGTATCCTGACCTATAATTAAGAAGCCTAGGCAATTCTAGGCAATGTTGGTTGATTTGCCCAGCAAAAGGCTGGTGCTGTATTTGCCAGATATAATTATGTACTGAACCACACAATACAGGTGGATATTATTTGGCTTTATTTCTTGTCTTAGTCATTGACTATCTTTTTTTTAATGGTGGTTTCCGGGTCAGCTTGATTATGTCTCAACTTGCAATTGAATATCCCTTGAACTCATGAAACATGGATGGGATTACAATGGGTGTATTGTTGATGTGCGACAAACATAATCAAGATGGTAAAATAAGTTCTTTTAATCAGTAAGAGGGTAAACTAGGTTTTATCTTCCAATGACTATCAAAGGCGAATAAATTATCTTGTATAAAGCTAAATAGAAATAAGGATAACATCATTCCATAATTAACAGCAAATGAGATTTAATATATTCTAGTTTATACCTAAGAGGCTAAGACATAAGGACCTTAAGCATGACGTAACAATGAAAGTTGAAATATTCAGCATGGCTTTGAGAGTAGATATAAACCTAGATGCAGTTACTCTAGGTTTCCAGAGAATGAATTTTCACAACAATCATGCTTAGTGTTCCTACTCCCCTGATTTTCTCAAAATCAGCTTTCAAGTTGTTGCTGCTATTAGGCATTCAGAGCTTCAAGTGGATGCTCTCAGGGGTTTTGCAACCTGTTATTTCAAGCATGAAATTTTCTAGCTCCACGATCCTCTTATGTAATTTCGACTTTGCATGTTCTTATACACTAACAGAATGATTTGTTCAAACTATAGAGGGTTCAGAACCCCTGCCCCCACCCTTTTTATTGTGGCGGGTGGAAGGAGCAATATGGGTTCTAGGAAGGACAAAGAGGTCTTTCATGGATTTATAAAGTAAAACATTTCATGTACTTAATAATTGCACAGGGTAGTTAGCTTCCAAAAATAGTAAATAAAGCGTCAAAACACCTACATTCCCTCTCTTTTCTTTGGGTTTTTTTCTTGGCAATAGCATTTATGCATTTATGGGACTACACTGGGTATGTTGGTGTTGTAATAGCATCTATGCACTGATTCACACAAATCATCCCAATTCCAAAAAAAATATAAGCAGCATGCCAGCATAATAATATCTAAAAATCGAAGATGTGAAAATACTACCAAACTCGTTACAAAATGAATACACAACAAGAAAAGAAGAAGATCCTAGGAGGCTTTTTCATCTGATGCCACATTATCAGTGGTCCAATAATATCATTCTGATTCGCTCATAGACTGACAAACAGGAAGGTAATACGTATCTAACTGCCAGTACTTCTGTTTAACACCCTCCCACACAGATTCACCTAAACAATCCTTCACTGGTAATGGTATCAGCTGCGTAGAATATCCCAAGCTCTCAAGTTCTAGAGAGACTAGCTGACAGTATACGATATGAAAGAAGGGATTACCTCCACATAGACCATTAAAAAATGAATATATACCACCTGGCTTCAATAATCTAGGAAGATGTTGATGAAATTCCCGCATATCTTCATAATACTCCCCATAAGTATCAAAAAATATTCCTGCAGAACAGAGTAGATACACATTAAGAGATAAAGATGAAAAAAGAAGACAACAGATAGAATCTAAACTTAAATCTAACAAAAGAGAACCGAGCTTATATAATTAACTGACATCTTCAATTATTACAATGTTGGATAAGTGAAATTTTTTGCTTAATCAAGTTACAGAAGTAGGCCAACTTGACACTCATGACTCTTATTATTTGTCTTATTGCTTTTGCTAGCAAGCGGAGTTATGAAAAGCATTGTATGTTGTTTTGTGAGGCATTTATGTCATTGGAACAGCAAGAATCAGCATATGAAATCAATAGCTAGGAGCTCAAAAGAAAATTGCTCCTTTGTGAAGATTAAAAAACACTTCCTACACAGTTTTTAGAGAGAAATGAATTTTATGTTACAGCAGTGCCTGTAAACATACAAAAAAACAAAAAATTGTGCATAGTGCATAAATTTTTTGAAGAAAATGTATTAACAACCACCAGTACAAACTTCAGAATAATGTATCATATTGATGACAATAAGAATCATGCACCAACTATTGACTTGGGATATTGAGCAGTAATTTGAATGGAGGAAAAAGAGGAAATTCTACTTGAAACTGATATGTTTTCCTGAAAGGTTTTCATGTTTTCATCGCTAAACTAAGTGCAATGAAACCTTGAAGTAGTATATTCTCATATTGTCATTCATACTTCATAGGCATGATGAGAGAGTGATTTTCTAAACTTACCAGAAAAGAAAATGTATAGGGAAGAATCTCATGATCAAAACAAGCAATGCACTAACAAGACACTAAAAATCAGAAGTATTACCAGCATAAAGGGGTTTTTCTTCTTTTAAAAATAGAAAGGGAAGAAGTGGAAGTTTACCATCATAGGTTTCAAGTTTAGAAATGACATCTTGCCACCGACCAAATATGATTTTCACATTCTCCTTCTCACCCCAACCTGCGCGCATCATACGATCATAGACCTCTGGATGAGCTTCAATAATAGTGTGTGATAAAGGTGAATATTGTTGTATGGCTGTATCTACAAGGCCCATCCCAAATCCAATGTTCAGTATGTGACCACCATTTGAGCAGACAGCTTTCGCATGAGCTTCCATCAATGGCTTCTCCCAAGCCATCATAATAGCCTTACTATCAGAGTCCATAATTTTATCTTCACTAAAAGTGACTCTATCATCTAAATAGTTCCCATCTGAGTTCCCCTTAGCATTGTCCTTCCTTGCAATTGTTCCAAGGATCAATTCTGCCTGGATTGCTACATATTGAATAATAAACATGTTTGATCAGAAATATTAAGCTAAACAGCCTCAAACTTTTAGTTGAACTACACACTGAATAAAGAAGATTAACAGCTTCAGTTGCCTTTTCTGATACTAGTTTTTTACTCTGCAAAATTTCAAATTTTAATATAATGTTGGCTCTCAGGCATATTGGGAACAATAAAAACAACAATTACAACAACATAATAAAAAATTAATGAAACATAACAATTTGCTCTTAATTATTATTTTCTGCACAATATACGAATCAGTCGTTTTGTCCCAAGTTATATCACACTTTTCCATTTGTGATTTTCCATATGTTTACACCATCCACTCATAACATTCTTCATCAAACAATTTTCAACCATTAGTTAACTATATAGATGTCAACTAATATCTTAAAATTATGTGATGAGTAAAACATCATCATATGAACATGAAGAGAGATCAGATTTTCCTTATGCTTAAAACAAGAGGAATTATACAGCTAAATAAGATAGACTAACAGGTTGTTTCGTTCCGTATTAGTACATGAATTATCATGCATTGGATGACAACATGGGGATTATTATGCCGGAAATGTGATATCAAAACAAGTCCTCTTACATTAAGAGTATCTTTGTGATGTACATCTTATACAGCTACTTCTTCAGATGCACATATTATTATTCCACATCCTATCTGGAATAATACATAATTTTTCTCAAAACTAGTTATGCTGTTATTACTTATGTGAAGTTTCGTATAGAAAGTCAGACATTGTATTAGCAAAGTAGAGTTATATTATTAATTCGCAGATGTATTATCAGAAAACTAGAATTTGTGTCAGTAATACAGCAGTTACTCTACTAATATATTTCTTTATACCTCAAACCAAACACAAGTCTTATAGAATTCCATTCTGTTTGGATAGTTGTTACATATAGTTTCATAATAATCTATTATATTGGATAGTGTAGTATTTGGTATGGATTTCTGTTGTTACGTAATGTCACGCATTAACAATTTGAATAAATTTACAACACAAAATTTAAATGATGCGTATAATGTACTATTGAGTAGCCAAAGCTAACTCTAAAACATAAGGAAGAGATTGCGAGGATTAAAAGTAAGCACCGGTATTGAGAAGAACGTCAAAAGCCTCTTGATGACCAGCATCCATGGCGAAGTCGCCGGCGGAGACATTGGAAGGGGTCAGGGCATTCCATGGGGCACTAGCATCAAGGAGAGCCTTTACGACCTCGGCATGGCCGTGCTTGGCGGCGTGCATCAGCGGAGTAAGTCCGTCTTTGTCAAAGTAGGTGACATCGCCGCCGGAATCAATCAGAGATTTAATACTGCTGATTTCACCATTCCGAGCTGCTTCGCAGAGTGCTTCGCCGTCGGCCATTTCTTAGCAGAGCAAAAACTGTGCTCCTAATAGTTGCGGTGATTTTCTGAGTTTGGACTTTGAAGTGACTGAGGGTTTTAGGACAGATTGCCCATTTCATCCCCGAGGTATAAGATAAATTCTCAAATATCATTTATGTTTCGCTTACATCAAAATATTATTTAATTGTCGCTATTTTTTTAAAAATGTGCTCATTTTAAAATCATCACTTTCTCGGAGTTCGACATTATATGTCATTACAGTTTTTTTTAAAATAATAGATTAATTTAATTTATTAAACTTATTTAACTAAAATAATGATCATATTATTTTATTTTATTTTTAATATATTAAAATAAATTTTCATACTTAAAATCTTTTATCGAAATTAAACTGTTTGTTTTTTTATGTTATGAAGAGTACATTTTTAAGATGTACTATAATTTTATTAATTTTGAATACTTATAAACTCATATATTCAAAAAAATATTCATTGTATATTTTGCAATTCATGCTTCCGATATTTTACAAAAATGAATAATATTATATTTTTTATCCATTAGAAATACTAAATATCTCAAAAGTCTCCTTAAAATTTAGTTGATATGCCCTGTCGTTAGATAATCAATTTTTTTTAAAAAAATAATAGACCTATTTAATTCATCAAACTTATGTCTCTACAAAATAAATATATAAATTACATGAGAATTTATGAAGATTATAAGAAAAGTAGTTTTAAAAGTTTAGTAACTTTATACATTGTCACCAAATAAAATTCTATGAAAAAATCTTTGTGTGCAATTATTACCTGATAAATTTAAAATTCCTAACTAAATTATTTGAAAATTTTAAACAATTTTTTTAATAAAAGTATTTAGATAAATTTGCAACGTTGACAAAAAAAATTGGTAAGAAAAAGAAAATT